AGAGAGAGAGAGAGAGAGAGAGAGAGAGAGAGAGAGAGAGAGAGAGAGAGAGAGAGAGAGGTCAGAGCGGAGGGGGCGTAAATCACTTCACTGGCTCGTGGCTGGAGAACTGGCAGAGGTACAAGGCTGCTGCTGAGGAAACGCTTTCACCTTCACCGCCGGTGGTTGTACACTGCGGGTAGAACCAAAGCGTCGAGCCCGGACCTTTTCTTTTATTGTCTCGGCATGTCCTCCTAGTCTCTCTGTCCTGCCGCAGAGGACGCCATCGGGCAGGAGCCGAAGTGACCAGCAGGTATGTTTTCCTCGGGGCTGAACGGTTGCCTGGCAGCTGCTATGCGGCGATTCAATGCGCAGTGTCTTTACCTGTGCTGCGGTGTCGCACCGTCGGTTCAGGTTACAGCCACACACTCCAGGCTGTATCCACACACACATGACAAATACACTCAGGTTTGTCGAGCATTTAAGACTGGTTCCTGTACAGAAGCGGAGGAGAATAAAGGGCGTGTGACGAGCTTCAGTTTGGGTGGATTATATTAGCTTCTCTTTACAAACTCAACTTCTTATCATAGAATAAAGTAGTGGACTTAAATAACACTCTTATGAATTTACCACAAAACTGCCTGTCCACAGCAGCAAAGCTTATTTTAGCCGAAAGTCTTTGTTTTTATTGCTCACGAGCCCATTTTTCTACTGTATGTTTAAAAGATTCATATTATTTGCATTGTTAGAAAAAAAAATTAGGGCTGTCAAATGATTATTTTTAATCTGATTAATCCCAAAGTGGCTGTGAATTAATCATGATTAATCTTAAATTTAATATACATTTCTATTGCATACTGATAAAATAAATTGCTTGAGTTATTAATTAGTTTGTAATGTTTTTATTTAGAAAACAAAATTGATGCTTAGACATGATTTTTTAAATATAAAACAGGACCTAAAAAATGCTCCAAACATATTTGAGTCAGTGGTTGAGACACGTGGTTAATGTGTCCTTGAATTAAACATTAATGAGCAAATGGCTAACTATGTGTGTTTGTTTACGGAAACTGCATTAAGGATAGACAAAGGATCAGTAATGGGGTCCATGAAAGAGCTGTTTGGGATTGAGAAATCTGTCAGTATTCATGTATTGTGCCATATTTGTGCTCAGATTGTTTGAGCAAGTCATGAATCTTAAGCAACCCAACGTGAAATAGACTTGCAAATGGGCTGTATTTCATCCATTTTGGGGGGAAATATAAACCACTGTGTAAGTGTAACCAACTAACCAGCCTAACGCAGGTCAGTCTCTTGACTCAAACTGTCAAGTGGTTTTCGGTGGATGCAGCCAAGTGCTTTGTTTACACTGAGCGCACGCCTGAGTTCAGAATTAAATTGTTTGCTTTTTCAAATCTCACTATTTGAAATCATTCAGGATAACATTTTTTTATTTATTTATCTAGTCTAAGTAACTTTAAGCAAGTGAACTATGTAATCGTGCTTTGTCTTTGCACTAAAGCCTGAGTTTAAAAGGTGTTTTGATGCTCTTGATTCACATTTTTATTAGGATTTGAACATATACAGCAGAAGGAGAAGGATGGAAAGAAGGAAAACCCCATCAATCTGCCTCAGGTCTGCTTCCCACAGGGTGCTTGGTGAAAACCTTGTTAGATGACTTTAGTTTCAAAAGAAACCAGCACACCCTACAGCTAATATGAGTAATGGGCCTTGCCCACTTAAGTAACTCAAGTAAGGTTTTCCAACGTTTTGATGGAAGTAAAGTTAAGACAAAGGATCTCACAAAACAGAAGATGAGTCATCGCTCAGCACTTAGCATCCCATTGCTGGTCTGTTCCTACAGTTTTATTTGTTCAAAACTCACTTGTGTTTTGATGTAAAGTCTTGTGGCTGAACAGACGGTTGAAAATAAAACCTAAATTGAGACATCAGTTCATCAGCGATGCACAAACCTGCTGCACAATTACACTAAACAGTCTTTAGGCCTTCACTTTTATGGGAGGACACTTTGAAGTTTGTAGCACTTTCATTTCTCTTGGTTGCAAACCCCGACATAGTTTTACTGCATCCAGCTGTAACAATGTGAGAGAGTTGTGGTTACATCTTTGTAGTATGTCCCGTTTATGACTTTTGATGCCTGTGATTTATTGTCTTGAAAGTGTTTTGTGGCTTGACAGGGTGTTTCAATTAGTCAGCACACTCACTCACTTGTGTTTCAAGGTGTGTTTCTGGTAATAAAAGGGACCTAACTGTCAGGAAACTATGTCAAATTCAGCTGAACCTTCTTCTTATTGTTTCCCATCACATGTCAGTGTTATCAGTCTGAGTTTACTCTCCTCTGCTGTCTTGTTTTGTCTTTTTTCCAGTTACCGTTAACAGATAAAAAGCGTCAGTGTTTTGTTTCTGGAGCCTCCCCGTGCAGCGTGACCTCGATGTGTGGTCTGCTGCTGGTGTTTTTGACTCTCCCTGATCCCTGCTGCTACACCACCATGTCAACACAGAGAAAAGTTTTTTAGTCTGGAGCTAAATGGATAAGTTTAGTCTGAGACTGGTTTTAAATGTTGAATGACCTCACATGGAAAATATTCTGGAGAATCTACTCTGCAGGTTTTCCCAATAGATGTGTTAATAGATTAGTAATAACTTATTTTTATTAACAGGATTTGGAGCGGGAGGATGATAATATTTTGCAACCCACGTGTTATTTGAAGGTGTGGAATTTTGTAACGGTTAAAATGACCCCCATTACCCACATACCAGGGTAACCACATACTCCTTCTTCTGTCCGCCCTCTCTCACTGTGTCTCTCACATACTTACAATATTCACATACATTCATTTCCCGACCCTCCCACCTCTCCCCTTCCAAGCTGTCGTACAAACAAGTTCTAAGTCTGCACGGCCAGCTGATGTCTGAGCTGTAATACTTTATCGTACTGCAGTGACACTCAACTTTCTGCTAAATATTTTCCATCTAAAAATTAATCTTTTCATTTCAGTTCATTTTTACAATTTTATTACCACCCTTTGTTAAATCCTTCTCTTTATTTTCTTGACTATAACTGATCTATCAGATCATTTGAACGTTTCTGGTTGTAAGTTTTAGCTTCAGCTTACAGCTCGGCCACTTTCACACTGAATACCAAAAGTCAGCTCATGTGTTTGGCACTGTGATCCATCAGTTCTTGGGTTCTTGACACCCTCTTACCATCTGCCTATTCTCCAGTTTTGTTCATTAAATATATATCTCAAAAACCATCAGAAGGATTTCTTCAAATATTTTTGATCAATAAAGCATTCATCCTTCACAAAATCAGACATTTGCCTTGGTGAATTATAGTCTAAAATGGGGTAAAATGTGATTTAAATCAGGAACAGTTCTTATGCAAACAAGACTGCATTTCAGTATTTTCTAGGGGTGTAAGAAAATATCGATACACTGAAATATCGCGATATTTCATTTCCCGATACTGTATCGATATTCTAAAGCCCTGTATCGATTTTTTATTAAGGTTTAAAATGTCAACTTTCCTGCCAGCCGTTCATTTTATGTTGTAGTTCAGCCTCTGACCACTAGTTGTCAGCAGTGAGCCAGCCATTTGGCTCCTCTACCTCTTGGGGTAGAGGCTATGTTGAGTGACCATATTGTAAATTAATATTAAAAACTAAAAGCTGCAAAAATATATATTTTCAAACTATTTACTGTCAAATTTAGTCTAACAATTGAAAACATGGATGAAATAAGAAATATGAAACAAATAAAATAAAATACATACAAAGCAGAACACAGCTAAATGTATCAAAAGTATGTCTATGTAATATTAGAATTTTCTGAGACAATGAATTTTGGTTTTTCATTTTTTCTCCTGTAAGAGGTTTTTATTTAATAGAATTTTTGGACAAAAAGCATCGCAATATATCGCCTTGCTTATAGTATTGCAATGTATCAGGATATATCGTATTGTGACCCCTCTGTTATGATATGTATCGTATCGCCAAATTATTGCCAATACACAGCCCTAGTATTTTCTGCTCTAATTCAAGTTTTAACATACTCTGTGTAAGGGAAGTATTTTGGTCTTTACAGAAGTATTAAAGTTTCAAACCAAGCCTGTGGAGACATGCATCTGTTAGATCAGTCTTTGTCCAAAAGACAAGTAATCCTCTGTGCACAAACAGAAATATTCTCTCAAATCATTGGAAAATCTGTTCTTTCAGACTGTCTGAATACGCTAGAAAGAGAGTGGACTTCTTTTAAAACAAGGATAGATTCCCTCACAAACTGGACTTCATGCCTCTCCCCCCACTCCCACCCCGAACCCGAAGGTTTCTTGTGGAAATTTTGTCACATTAATACACAGTGTAGACATGACATCAGTGCTGCAATGATTAACTGATTAGTAGCAGCTGCTATAGTCCTTAGTCATGTGGTTGTGTAACCAGCAAGTCCACACCGTGGGCAAGGAGTTTATAGTAATCTGCAGATTGTTGCTTGAGGCTGTACTATTGGATATTATCCATGGGTATTTCCTGCTTTGAACAAAGCACATGTTGTGCAAGAGAAATTCGCCATATATATACAACATGCTCACCATTGTACATGCAAGTGAAACGCAGAGTGAAGTGTCCCCCGACCCCCAGGGGCTGACAGCGATAAAAATACTCTGACCGAGAACCCATCTGCGTTCCCTCATGGAGAGTCACAGAGAAAAGTCATTTCTCTTTGTGTGTGTGTGTGTGTCTGTGTGTGTGTGTGTTTTAGTCACAGTTATAAGGATTCCTGCACAGATGCACCGAGTTGAGGGAATAGAGAGAGTTTAATTCAAGTAAACATCACATTGACTTATAAATAGCTAGCAGTCTGAAAAATGGACATGTTTTTATATGTGGAGTATTTCATTAAAAATTGTACCAGACCTTTTTTTTCCTGGCTCATTTGAACTGTTTGGTTCACCCAAACTGACTCAGTTTTTCTTGGTTCGGTGGACTTGTGTTAAACAAGTCTACAGGAACATTTCGGTGAAGCATTGCTGTGTTTTAGCTTTTCACCGTCATGCATAAAAGGAATTACTAAATCGTATTAAGTCAAACGTTGTCAAAAACAAATTAATCTACACTAAATATCCTTGCACACAGGCTTTCATTACAGTTGGTTGGATCAAGGTAGTGGTATGCTTATTTGATTTAACTAGTTAGGGAATGCCTTTCTGGATAGAGTTCTCATGTTCTCTCTGTGCATGCATGGGTTTTCTCCAGGTACTCCGGTTTCCTCCCACAGACCAAAAACATGACTGTTAGGTTGACTAAATTGTCCCTAGGTGTGAGTGAAGGTTTTTTGTCTGTGGCCCTGTGATGGACCCTGTCCAGGGTGGACTGCCCCTCACACAGTGAATGGTGGAAATGGGCACCAGTGACCCCTGTGACCCAGAAGAGAAGAAGCGTGTAAAGAAAATGGATGGATGGATTTCACTAATTAAAGGCCTAGTTTTCCTTGATGGAATGCATGTCACCTGCTGCCTTTCATGGCATTAATAACAAGGAGAGATGGAAATATAGCCACTTTGTTAATGACATTATGCATCATCTCAGGATTAATTGTGGAATGCTTTCCAGTTCATTGTGTTTTATTGACTCTCTGCTACTACTACAATAAACATTAACTCATATATAAATCTTGCTAAGCTAAAGCCATTTTTGTGTTGGTTAGCTGTGGCAGCCATGTTGAATTAAATTGACTCCAAAAGTTAATCGTCAAGGAGCATCCTGTGATTACATTCTGAGGGTTTCATTAATCTCCATCCACGTTCTTATGAGATGTTCAGCTAACAGTCTGACAAATAAAGAGACGTGGGAAAAACATCTACAACTTTTGCCTTCGGCTGCAGACGATAACAAGTTTGTTTATGTCTGATTGCCAGATACCTGCTAACTAAACAGTGAAGCTGGTTTTATTTCTTTGCGTACCTTCCTGGATTAGTTGCCGCCCATATGCAAACCTGTTTATCCAGAAACGTTATTTGCTCGTGACTCCCCCACCCCCCTTGTGCCCCGTCCACTGTCTTCTGTCAGTTTGCATTAAACATCTGCTTCCACCCCGAGCCTATGTTCTAAATTTGCAGCCCTCACTACTTCTCTCTATCTTAAATTTTGTCACCGATCACCTCCGCTCATCTTCCTGCCCTCCTCTGTCAGCTTCATCACATCATGCCTCCTCCACCGTCTGTGCTTTTCTCTTATCTAATTTGGTTTCCCTTCGTATCAGTCCTCTCTAATAAATACGTTCTTATCTCCTAATTCTAGCATTAACTCTGCTTTTATTTTACTTTTCTCAATCCTCACACAGCTCTGGGGTTATGATAAATAATCCAACTCAAAGTGGGGGATAAAAGAAAATGCAGGAAGGCTGGGGAAGAGGAATTTGTTGGACAAAGCAGAGGAGATAGCTGAGAGAGGAAAGTAAATAAACACTGAGGCTACTGTGAGTGGGTGGAAAGTGAGATATACTGGCAGTTATACTACTGTGCACACTGATGAGCTTTCCCCCCATTTAAATGTTCATGTCTGCAAAAACACTTAGCAAACTGAATATTCAAATTTCCTGAGCATTCATCTGAACTTTCAAACAGTACTTCCTGTGTTACGGTGTGTGTGGGCCTACTTGTTCACTCCAACACATTTTCCATATATAGTATTCACACAGACTGCTCACTCCTGAAGCATGTCCAGGAGCACTAAACACACATACAAACCCTGGTGTAGGAGCGTTTTGTGACCGTAACTTCACTGAGGCCTAATCATCATAAACGTGAATGGACTTGGGGTGAGTCACACGCAGCAGAATGAATTTTCCCAATGGCTCCGTTTTCTGTTTCCTGCCCTTTACCTTCTTAAGTTTCAGGTGAAGTTTTTACATCATCCTGACCCAGTTTTCAGAGGTTATCTCTGTCTTTGAGTCATAGAAGAAACTGGCGTGAATACAAGGGAGCATTTTTGTATTTTTGACAAAATGCCGTGTTAAGTGAAGTTAGTTTCAGCTGTTTGTTTAGGCATGTTGTTGAATTTTGCAATTCTCACTAAGGTTTTTTGTTGATCTGTTGGTCTCATGTAGGAACCAGGGATTTCTAAATTTCACCTTGATTTCTAAAATACACCACAACTGGTTTTACAGATCCTGAGAATCGTAGCTTAAAAACATTAGAAAAATAAAATTCTAGCAATCCTTAAAAGCAATGCATATCATTTACCACCTTTAAAGGGGGACATATCATGCAAAATCCATTTTTTTAGCTCTTAAATACATTTTGCGGATAACTTTATTTTTTGTTTGGGTCATATTTAGTCCGATTTGTTTCCTCTTTTCCTTATTACATTTTCTGAACAATTTTGTTGCATTATTTGCTGCAGAAATGCCAAACAAGGTCATAGACTTCCTGCTTACCAATTTTGTAAATCTGCGGTTCTGCAGTTTTGTCGTCTTCATTCTCATCTGGCTCTGGGTCAGACTCTGGCTCCAACATGTAAGGCCGGATAGACAAGTCTTCCATCGTTGACATCTTTATCAATATGTAAATAAAATGTTTTTGTGCCGCTAGATTATTGTTTCTCTGCTATCAAACTACAAAAAGGGCTTAATGGGGTGGAATGGACTATGATCTTTGGGAGTGCGACCTGGAGGGGTGGCGGGTTAGATGCACCTCAAAACTAGGGTTTTTTCAAAATCCTATGTGCAATTAATCATTAAAAAAACAGTCAACAATTAATTAATTATTTTATTTTTTAAGCCACTTCAGTAGAAAACAGAACTGAATATTAGTTTCTTCATCATCAGTGACTTTTTTATAAAAGAGAAGAAGAAAAAGCAAAAGGAAAAATGTATTGAGGAAGAATGAAAGAGAGATTAGAGAAGACGTGAAATATAAACCAAGAAAACACAAGACAACACACCCGACATCTATCTGCATGCCTGTAAAAATGGAGAAAACAAAAACACAGCAACAAATAACATGCATAATAATCATAATAATATCATAATACATCATAATAATAATTATAACTTTGCTGAAATATATACAAACTTATACCCATACTTATATAGATATATGTACACATATATAATTAAATATCCACATCCATACTTACATATAGATGTATACACCTTCAATGACCGTCAGAAACAATTAATTAATTACTTTACCACTTTGCAATAAACAACACATATAAATTGCGTCATGCAGTATCTTATGCAATATTGTATTAGCACTCTGAACATACAATGAGGATGATCAGTTATAAAAAGTAAATCCAATGATTACTTTTTGAGAACTTTGCCTAATTCTTTCTATTGTTTCAATAGATGTTTTGCCAACAGACAAACATGGTTGTCTCTTGTAGTTAGTATGTTATTGAATTGGTGTCAGATTTGACTGTAAAACACTTTGGTCAACCTCATTTGTTTTAACTGTGCTATATAACGATAAATAAAGTTAAGTTTCACATTAATGTCAAAGGCTTAAGCGAAGATGTTGCACAATCTGTAGACAACGAAGTATGCATTGTGAATGGCTTTCAGCTTTTGACCTCCATATCTTAAACTGGCTGAGTTATAAACATTTATGTGTTTTTAGGGTCACTTAGTTGTGTTCATCTCTAGTTTGGTTAATGCCAAAAGATTTAAAAAAAGGATCTTGTGTTATCAGTTTGCACAAGAAGTGTATTACCACACCAGACTTTAAATCAAAAACTATAAAAATGTCTGAGTTATAGCCATTTTTGTGTTTGTTGAAGTGCCTTTGCTGCGGCATCTTGAATGTGGCTCCACATCCAGTGATTGCTTTTTGATGAGCTTCATTAAACTGTATGCAATGCTTCAGGAGATATTTTACTAACAGACAGACACACACGGTCAGTGGCAAAAAATATAATCTCCCTAAAAGTCTTGCTACTTAAAACCAGAATGATAAAGACCATTTGAGGTCTAAAGAGATTTTTTTTTCTGGCATAAATACAAGAAAAAAAAAGTTAACGTACCCATCTGTCACTGATTAAAACCATCTGTGACTCCTGTTTTTATTTGGCCTGGTTATTTTTTATTGTGCAACCTATTTTTCTAACTCAACAACTGAGGTCTTGTCTTTGTGTGCGTTCATGTGTGGCAGTATATGTAACACGTGCTCTGAAACCATATATTTGTGAGTTTGGATCACGCTGCAGTAGCTTACTTGGAGTTGATGCATGTTTGAAATGTGCACCCCTTAAATTATAGATAAGCAGAAATATTTAATGACTGCTTCATGAGCTCGGTTTTAGCTGGTTTTGGGTTCGTATTGAAAATGACAAGAATACTGATATAAATTAAGATAAATTAGCAAATTAGCACAGAATTAGCAAACCGTAACATATGTACTTTAGTTATTGGTTTCTGAAAAATGGGGTCTGAGCCACTTTGCATGAAAAATGAATCTAGCATTCATTTGAAGGAATATATATCCCCTTGGACACTGAGGTTATAAACAAATACATATTTTTGCACAGTCAGTTAGCACTTGGAGTATGCATTAGGGGTGACTCAGCTACTGGCAAACCTTAATTTAGCTGTTATTATCAGTGGTTTATGTGATATTTTGATAAATAATAATAATAATTTAAAAAACACAAGCACTTGCTGTATTGCCTGCCTTTCAAGGCAGCAGTTCATCAACACACCCTCTTTTAATTAAAAAATGTAACTTCTGTATTTGAAAATATATTCTAATCAACAAATCAAAAATGCAGTGTGTAACTATGTTTGTTGTTCTCAACAGTGGAAGGATGTTGTGACGAACAGACTGACATCACTGCTCGGTGGAACATGGCTCCCATGTCTTTCCTGATCCCAACTTTGCTCCTCTCCTTCCTCCCTCTTTCTAATGCCCAGACCATCATTGGCTCTTCTTCCTCCTTCCCTGCTCTGGACCTGCCGAACAATTCACCTGCACCCACCAAGCATACTGTCCGATTCTGGCCCTCTTTGCCATCCAGAGGACGCAGTGATGTTCCCGTCAGAGTAACAGCCCAGGACAAATTAACAACTATGAACATGGTGGAACAGGAGGAAAGGACCAATCATCCACCATCACAGTTCAGTTCTTCTCTTACTTTGACTATATCAACACAAAGTCCTAATAGAGGGCGTACTACAGTCCAGCCAACTGCCTCCAGACCCAGGACTGACACAGCTAGTTTAGCATTTGGCAGGGATTTATCAAAGGTGGAAGCTGCCAAGAAAGGCTTGACACCACCTTTGCCCACTTTACCTTTTGCTGCTGGTGCTGAACCTGCAGATAATGGGGAGACTGCAGAGGAAGGACCGGTTAAAGAAGAAGATGATGATTCACAAGGGTTGGGATCAGGCAGGACTCCAACAGTAGCGTTTGTCAAGCAGGCATCACCTCATCGTCTGCCAACAGTTAGTGATGAAATGCCACAGTATCGACCAGAAGCGCAGACCATGATATCCAAAGTTAGTGATGGAAACCAACCACTTGAAGATCAGGCTGTGCTGGCTACAACCAGCACGTCTTCAGCACAACACCCCGAGAAAGATACCACACTGCCCTCTGTGATAACTCAGCCACCTCTGAAGACACTAGAGTTAACAGGTTAGAAATATTAGAGTGAACGCTGTATGACAGTAAGAAGTTTAGGCAAAAAAAAATTATGTAAAAAATGTCATATTATGTCACTAATATGGAATCTTTCTCACACGTTTAGACAAATTAGGAGGGACCAGTCCTTCCACCTCTGCAACATCATTCATCTCTACTGAGAAACAGTCACAGATGGCAGAGCAACCCGTTCTGGGCCGGACTAGTTTGCATCCGAACACTTCGACAGCACAAGTGGCCCACACATCTGCAGCCGCTGAGCTCGGCCCAACGCAGAAGGCAGATTGGACCACAACAAGTCAAAGCAGCAGAACCACACCAACAGGAAGACAAACAACTGTACAGTTCTCAAGGAGAGGTAAGAAACAAGAACAGCTCTTTGGTTCAGACCAATTTTAAAGTCTTCACTCTCTTCTGATCATTTGGAGCAGACGTATTTATACAGCTGGGTCTTTTTACTGGAGGAATTTTTAAAAAAGGCTTCAAAGGAGGGAAAAAGCAGAGTTACTTTTCCATGGAAAATGGGGTTGCAAAGAGTGACAAAAGTAGAAGGAGGAGGTGAGAGGATAGGTCAAAGAGGAGGTGGGTGGGATAGAAGGTAAGGAAGAGAGAAAAAGTAAAGTTTGGAAAAAAAATACTGTTGGGAATAAATATGAAGAACAGACAGGGTGGGAAAACGTGTGCCAGAAGAAAGGTAGAGGCATAAAAATATCTGAAAGTTGGGATAGCAATGAAAACCAGATGCAGACAGAATGAGGTGAAGGAAATGGGAGATGGGGATAAGTAAACAGAGAAGGAAAACTCGACCCATTTGGCACATAGACTGTTAAATTTGACACCCGGATATTAACTTTACAATGACTTTTAAACAGTCAAATGCTACTTTATATCACTTTTAAAAAGATGCCTCACTGTTAACACAACTACATTTTGGTTGGAAGGACATTTTTTACACTTTAGTTCTTTAAAAGATCTGATTGATTGGTTCAAACTAATTTACTGGTCTCTAAAACTGGAATAAAACCCAAAATTTGCTTCATATGCTGATGCTTCTGAATAAAGTAGCCGCAGCTGTGCTCAGAATAAAAAAAGGAGAGCGTGGGTCAGGCCCACTTTGTGCCTCTCGGGCCTGTCTGCCAAGAATTTTTTGCATTTTAAAAACTAATTGCTTGTGAAATGTATTTCTCCGTGGGAAAAACAATATGTTGGAAATGAGCAGCACAACAAGCAGTAGCATTAAATGTGTCAAAGAAACAGGCTGAGCTGCTAGTTTTCTTTTTTATAACTCGGGATCTGACAGAAACTGTTCATTCTTCCTCCTTGTTTTTTTAAGTTGAGTCGTCTGAGAACATCCAGAATATAATCTGAATTTTATATGAAACTAGAGCTTTTGAGACATTCCAAATGTAATTGGACAAAAATGAGGTAACTCAAATAATAAACCTAGTCTTGTCTGGTTGATTGTATCTGTTTTCCCATGAACAGATGATGCACACAAAACTGTTGCTGTCCTGCTTAGGCCATTAACCCAAACTTATTATCATGCTTTAAACTCAAAGTGGTATAGTTCATGTCTACATCCTCTTTCATTAAAAAGTTTATTAACAGGATATTAGATTTTTGATTCGTTCCAACATATGAAGGCTGTGTGGGTCTTTAAAGAAAAAAAAAAAACAGAGGGTTTGGGGTGCGCCTAAGTGTGCCAGCTGTGTAACGTGATCAGCACATCTGGAATGTGTCTGGATCCTGTTCCTGTTGGGGGTAAAAAGGTCTGAAGGGAGGAAGTAAAACATACCTTTATGTAAATAAAGAAGTGTGTTTGTGATTTGCAGTGCTCACTTACATTGTGAGGCTGAGAAGTATTGTGTGTCTGTGTCTGGTTTTGTGGTGGGGTGTGGTGGGGGGTTGAAGCATGTGTTTGAGTGAGCCATCAATCAGCCTTATGGGTGTCTTCTGTTTAGGAAATAGTTACACTAAATGACTTAAGCTTTGAATGTTAAATAAAGTCATTCCATTATTTTAGGTTAAAATTTTATAACACTATAATAGTTCTGGAAATCCATCATTTTTGCATCATACACCAAACCCTCAAATTAACTAATTATTTGCATGCCCATAACAAGATAGATGTTTCTGTTTATTCCTACAAATAAAATTTAAAAGGTTAAATTCAATAGTGTGTTCTTAAGTTTTTTGTGTTATGTCTCCATAGTTTATGATGTTACAAAGCTTTCGGTGTTTAATTTGATCACAACACTACGTGTTTCCTTTTGTTTTTCATCAAGATAAGGTGTTGGGCTTTAAACATGAAGTTTTGTACCATATAATTCTAAAACTGCCTGCAGAGCATTTTACACACAGTACATGGATGTATTGTGATGCTGTAATCTGTGTTGCATAACAGAGATGTTCTGATTAATTATTTAATCCAATTAGACCACACAGATAGTTCATGTGAATCATTGTGGGTCAGATGTGCTTCTTAATATAACAAGGATGATCAGCAATAAGTCAAGATAATTGAGTTTTGTTGTTTTAGGCATTCGCACATTCAATTTTGTGTATTTTTTGGCATATAATAAAGTATCTGATTATTTGTTACTGTTATTTATGTTTGTTATTTCCACATGTGCATCTAAATTACTTTATTTCTACAGATACTAATACTCTATCCTGATTCTTTCAGAAAAGAAAAAATAAACCTTTACTGTAATAAGACATCATAAAAGTGTTAGTTATTTGTCTGGTGTGGAAAACATGCAGAGCTGATTGAGTTGCTAGTAAACAACTTAAAAGATTAGACACCTGTACTTCAAAACTTTAACAGTCAACCACTGCCCTCTAGTGGCTCTTTGTAGTACCACATGTTCTCTTACAGCTTTGTTGTCTTCTAGATAGATAGAAAGATCAATTTAATGTTTTGTTTCTCATGAATTCAAGCATTTATAAACCAAAACTGTGTGCTCTTTCCAGGAGCCTTTTCTGTCCTCCCAACTGGTGTTGTTCCTGTCATCCGATCAAGATTCAGCCCCACGTATCAGGCTGAGAGGAACCACGCTGTTCTCCTTGGACATCCTTACCAAGCTCCCTATTCCACTTTGATCCCATCTCCTTCCCCCAGCGTGAGTTCTTCAGTAAACGGCACACTTATTTACTGGGGAGATCTGAGCCGGACGTTGGCTTTGGCCTGGGAACTTCACGTCTACGGCACAGCGAGCCTCTTTCTTCTTCTGTTTGTTGGAGCTGCCCTCAACCTCATGCTGTCTCCTGCCACAAACTGTCCTCATCGCGGCGCCCTGGCACTTGCCAACGGTCTTCTGCTTCTCGTTGGAGGCCTCAGGGCAGTTCTCTTTTTCATCGACCCCTATGGCACGCGGAACGTCCTCCCTCGCCCTGCCGTTACAGCCCTCTACAACCTGCCTCTGCACCTGTTGGTGTGGGCGCAGGCAGCTATGGCACTGCTTGCACTTAAGGTGGCAGGAGTGAGTTTGTTACCGTCTACTTTAGAGCATCTTCCGCTGGTGGCTGTGCTGACAGTGTTACAGTGCACCCTGCTGTTGGCTGTGGATCTGTTGTCTCCAGCTCTGTCTCCGGTGGTGCCGATCACGCTACAGGTCCTGTCCCTGTGTTGGGGCCTGGCACTTTGTTTGGGCTACCTGTGCTACGTGTTTCCACGTATACGCTGCCCTCCTCTTCCCCACCATGGAGTCCCCGAAGAAGCCGGGAGGAAGGTTTGGACAGGAAGCCAGAGAACAGGAGTGATTCTGGGGAGAGTGTTGGTGATGTGTGCAGTTCTCGGAGCTTTGTGCTGTGGCTTACATGTCCATGCTTCTATGTGGCTTTATGGATTGTTAGGAGATAGGACCCGCTTCAACTGGGGCTGGTGGCTTGTGCACTTCTGGGCTCGGCTCCTGGAACTGGTCTGGGGGTTCTTTCTCCTAATTCTGGCTTCTTGGTTGTTCTGGAGACCTGTGGGGTGCAGGAGAAGGGAGGAAGTAGGGCAAGCTGGCAGAGCAACAGGTGAACTACCATCCCCTGGACAGTCTGTAGGCTCCCCACAAAGACATACATGCTGGTCCAAGATAGTCCAAAGCCTGCGGGGGAAGCCCTACAGAAAGTCTGACAGTAATGGTGTGGGAGGAGGCGCGGTGGAGATGCCTAACAACTGGGCTGGCCAGGAGCGTCCTGGAGCTGATATCAGCAAGAGTCTCATTAGGAACCAGGACCACGCTCAGAATGCTGCACAGGCACGCTGCGTCAAAGACAACAAGCACGGACAGAACAACAGTGGCCACTCTGCAGAACGAGACACAACCGATGAATCCTCTGGGCCGACGCTGAGGCTGCAGACTCCGGGTCAGCCCCCGCAGCGCTCAGTGAGTGGCAGTCTGGATCAGGATCGGGACACTTCCCTGTCATTCTACGAGTTCGACCTGCGGCCTCCCTCCCCCATCAACCTGACTCGCAGCATTGACGAGGCGCTGCACAGAGAACACTTGCTCGAAGGGGGGAGTCTTTTCCATCCTTTGAACCAGACTTCCCAGTCTCCTTCCCCTGGCTCAGGGAACAGCCAGGGGGCCTGGATCCGCAGAAACAGCGACCCTCAGTTGCTCTCCGAAAGCAGTGACGCCCCAACAGAGTCCTCCATGCCACTGGGGGGCAGCATTCTCAGCAGTGTGCCTAGCAGGCAGGTGACCGCTCCCCCCACGCCATCTCACCAGGGTCACAGATGGGCTGGGAACGGCGTAGCCTGCGTACCCTCATCAGTGTCCTGCCCGGTGTCACTTCATCCCTCTAGAACATCAACAGGGAATCTGGGGGACGAGGAAGTGGATGACACACGGCCCTTTATCACCCCAGACTCGGATCGGGTACGAGGAAGACCAGGGAGGCCAGCAGGATCACGCAGTTACCTGGAAGTCAGTCGACATGACGATTCTGCCAGTGTGAGCAGTGAAATTATAGACCTCTGAACCGAACCCTGAACAGTAAGACCAACGACTGCATTTCAAGCTCACTCATTTAATGACTTCTGTGTCAGATCAGGACTTTCAAAAAAAATGGAGAAAACCTGTTTCAAAATTAGTCTTTTTGAAAGAGGAAATATACATTGATGATCTAGATAATGAGACCTAAACATTATTGTCTAGTTGCCTTTTATATTGATAAAGGATTTACCAAGTGGGGTGTGGAACAGGTTTTCTTAATAGTTTACTCATTAAGCAAAACTGGGAAATAGCACAGACAAGCAGCACACACAAATTGTTTTCACTCATCTTGTGCACACAATCTTTTTGGTCTGGTGTTGAGTTTTCAGGGACCAGAACTACATGTTTCATTAGAGAGGCTTTTTAGCAGATCTGTGCTCAAAACTTGCAATAGTCAGACATTTTATCCTCCCACAACATATGAGATGGAAAAGATGCTCAGCTCCCAGTAATGTGATTACCTGTCCTTTAGGTCCCATTCTTGTTTTGTCTGGATGCACTTGTCAGCTTATCATTGGTTGTGAATTTCTTGGAGTTTATTCTGTTTGCTTTTGTGATATAAAGATGTGCCATATGTAATACCGCTGGTTACTTTGCTGTTCTCTCTCTAGTGTCTTTGCATTTATTGTCATGCTGACTCAGCAGCAGAGTACAATACATCTTATCTTCTTGCAGCTGTACTGGGTTTGCCTTGTATGTTAAAGCTGGTAACATAAAGATGCACACAGCGAACAACAGCCAGAGACGGCTCATTTGCAGACGCATGCTTACGAAAAGGCGACTGAGGATAAAATTAGCAGCTGGTCAAATTTGTCAGATGCCACATTGAGCTTTACCTGTGATGTTATTGCATTTTTTTATCAAGGGAACTTGCTGCAGACAAAGATTTTGGGATCAATAACTATCCGTAAATAGAGTGCAGATTTGAAGTATCTGAATCTGAATAGTTACCATGCATTAAATCTGTTTGATATTTAACTAAGTGCTACACAACTTTGCAGGGCTGCAACATACAAGTCTGGCTTGGCATGAACCCCAGAGCTCTAATACTAAGACCTTAACAACAGAGCACTTACCTGTACTCTAGAGTCTAGACTGAAGTATTTTACTGCTATATTTTAAACATGTGATGTAACGATGTAAATACTATAGTTTTAAGTGTTCATGAATAAAACGATGTATTTAAAACAGTTGTAGCTGCAACTGTGAAAGACCATTTGGAGTAGTGGGTTCAAATTAGAATTTGAAATTGTGAATTTGCGAAGTTAGAAGTTGTAAACAACTCCGTGAGAATCATTTATACATACACAGAAAATGTTTATTTAGCTATAAACAATAAAAGTGAAGTTACACCCAACACTAAAACTATAAAAGTGTTTTTCTGAACATGTTTACAGATACAATAAAAGGGAAACCTGGTTCAAACTCAGCTTCTGTTGATGCTAAGAAAACAGATTCTGTTTTGTTTTTATTCCTTAAATTGACTGAACTGCGATAACGCAATGGTATTATAGGGAATTTAGATTTCCTGCAAAAAGACAGGGTGAATGCTTAATGCTGAAAGACTTTTCCTGAAAGCTGCTGTAGAAGCTGAAAGTGTTAATAGCAAAACTATAGTATAAATTAAACTTGTACAGGTGACTTGCTGAAAACAAAAGCAGACAGTATTAGAAACAATGCCAACAGTCTCTTATGTCCCCTGTCACTGATGGATGGATGGAGATCATTTTTAAGCCTCCCGCCTCAGTGACGGGACAATTAGCAGATGATGAGCAGAGAGTAAAAAAAAAACTCACATTGGCAGTAAAACAGCTTTAAAAATAAGCTAAGGCAGCTGAAATTAGCAGAAAATGGCTAAAAGGTAGCTGAAATTAGCACAAAGACATGGAAAGAGCATATTTGTTGAAATACATATTAGAAAGCTGAAATTATCACAAAAGTATAAATTTAGTTAAAAAAGCTCAAATTACCTGAAAACAACTAGAAAGTAGCTAAAAAGGTAGAAAACAGCTGAAATGAGCAGAAATCAGCTAAGAGAGAGAAGTCTAAAAAAGTTAAAATTAACAAAAGAATAACTGAATGGTTTGATAAATGAATTGTTGAAATAGTACAGATGCCAAAAATCGCACAGAAGAAAAATGGATCTCAATAAACTGTCGAGTCAGAGGGCAGATGTAAGATTCTGATCATAAAGTAGGGATTCAAAAAGAATAAACTGAAGTAAATGTATGATTTATATTTTTGGTCTAAAACTAGTTGTTTTTGATTTTAAGCAGCTTCGAATCTGTCGGCAACAACTAAAAACATTTTTATACTTTTAAGAACTGTGTGTAACTTTGTTTTTTTTCACAAATTTCTTTCTGTATGCACAGATGTGAATTTCATGGGTTCATTTTATTGTGTAAAACAAAGCAACTTGAACAACTTAAGATGTCGTATTTATTAATTTTAAGCTCAAACTCCTGATAACTCTAACCTGATGACTTCACACCAGACGGTGACCTGTTGACGATCGAGTTGTATTTTGAATCTTGACCAAATAAATTAGGTCAAGAACCTTTGGCGCTCCAGTTTGTGACAATATTGCAGCTCTTTTACCGTATTTTGATTCCTGCTTCATGTTTTTGTTGTTTTTAATTTATGACAAAGGCATTAAAACCCCAAAAATATTTATGTCTGACCATATTTAGTCTTTTAATTAAGTGGAAACTCTTCCTGCCCAGTGGTTCCTTCTTCAGGCATTATTTGAAAGAACGTGAACATGGAACGTTAAAAACCTCATGTTAGATGAACGTTGTAAAATATAGTTCCTGATGCCTTTTGTTCCTGTTTGGAGCTGTTCCATGACAAGTTGTCTGGTTACTTTTGGTGGTGTTTGACTTGTTCAGGTTTTTTTACTGTCATTTTTTGTTGTTGTTTACATTCCAATGGTTCAGTAGGATTTTACTCTCCAGTTCAGTCAGTTCCGTGGCTCCTCCAGCACCCTCAGGATTGTCCCGCAAAGCAGCATTTGCCGTAGGAAATCTAATCAGCGTGCCCAGTGCCGTCTCTGTAGACACGTTGAAGTAGTTCAGTGTTAGTTTCATCTGTTTTTTGCTCCTGATATCATTTGGTCATGTATTTCCTGCTGCTTTTGAAGTCTGGATTCAAATAAAAACTAGTTTACCTAAAATCTTCATTCTGTGATTATTATTGCCTGCCACTGAAAGGCAAAGGCAGATGACTGTGTTAGCTAAACATCTTGTGATCTACTGGACCTATTTCTATGAAACTTGCAGAATGTAATCAATAAATGTAGCCTACATCTCCAACTGTTTTACTAAGAGTTAGCAGAATTCAAGATGGCCGCCATAGCCAACCGACTTTGAAAAATACAAAATTCAGCATAGTTGAGGCTGAATTTTCCCCACAACATATTCTGAGCACTACAATGTTGCATAAAATCTAATTTATTTTTGCTATTTGCCCCTACCACAGTCTGTTAACAAAATATATCTTAAACTACATGACTGATTTTAACAAAACTTCTGGGACATGACTGGATGCGCATCTACCACTGATTAACTTGTAGAGTGAACCCCAACCAAGATGGCCGCCACAGTCAACAGATCTTAGAAAACACAATTTATTATAATTCAGCCAGTTTTAGTTACGGTGCTAAAAATCTGGAGTGGTTGCAGCTGAGAGTTATTCACAACACATGATCCAAGTGTTACTTATTTTGCAATAACTGTGCACAAAACTGTAGCATTAAATGTGAGTGTTAAGTCTGTTAGCCAAATATTTCATAAACCACTAGATTTATCTTGATGAAACTTTCAGAAAGCAATCATTAGATGTACATCTACTGTACAAGTGGTTTTTGATGTGAATCCAGGTCAAGATGGCTAGCAAAGCTAACCACAGTAGTCAACACAGAAATGGCTATAACTCTATAGGTGGTGAGCGATACACATTACTAGTTTGTTAATTTTTTAAATATTTGGGTTATCTGACAGAAGCAGAGGACTACAGGATTGTTCGGAAATATAGATCTGTGTTTTTCATCTTCCTCTTGTAGTCTTCATTAAACTCCTCGTCCTGTTGGACAGTGAAGTGATTCTTCCAGTCACCAACATTTCCTACAAAAAAGAAAGAAAGAAAAAAAAAACATAAAATTTCAATTCCCTGTATTGCTTTACTTCAAAAACATAGAGAAGAAAGGATCTAACCTTCGCGGATGAACTGAGATATGTTGAAGTCAAAGGCTTCGTTAGTTGACATGTTCACCATCTTATTGTGTTTCATGTTTTTGAACAGAACTTTTTCTGTTATGTGTTTCTTCTTCTCCGCGCTTGGAGACAGTTCCAGGAAGGAGCAGAGACGATTGAGTTCCCGATCAAAATCCTAGAAAAGTAAATTATTTTTATAACGAAAGGATGATTATGTTAGTACCACCTGAACAAGCATAACGGCTCTATGTTTTCCTCTAAGATGACTTTAATCCAGTGCTATTCAACTGGTGGCCCGCAAGCCACATTGGGCCTGTTGGTGACTTCTGTTTGGCCCACCATGTAAAAATTTTTTTATATTTTTTTCTTTACGTAATTTAATATAGAAATGAATTGTAAGTCAATTAAGATTCAATGCAACAACATACACAAATTTAAAAGGTGAATTTAATTTGTTTTGTAGTTTTTCGATACACACACACACACACACACACACACACACACACACACACACACACACA